AGAACAAAGACATCGCGATCAAAGACTACAAAAACAGAATGTTCTTTCAATTGACATGACAGTTCCTGCAGACGGCAATGTATCTTTGAAGATCTTCAAAAACTATCAAAATACAAGGATCTTGAAGTGGAAATCTAAAACACATCAATAATTCCAGTTGCGTCCTAGGATTGATTGGAAAACGTTCTGATAAACACACTGCTTTAAAGAAATACAAAAAAATGTACTCACAAGTACAGGTCACAAGTACAGGTCACAAGTACAGCTTTATCTGTGTAAAGTGTCTGTGATCTTCGGTTATTTTATTTCTATTTTTCTATAAAAATGCTCAGTGGAAAATGGCATGATGTCATTTCTGACCTTAGATCTCTAGTTGGGATCCGGAAGAAATGGGTATTCAACAGAAATCGAAGGAAACAATAATAATAATAATAATAATAATAATAATAATCTAAACAGCAACATTACCTGCTGTTATTAGGGCTCTGGAAATTATGCAAATATATGAATCAACTTTTTAATTTGCCATTAAATATGGGTATTGTAAAAAAATCATATTCACGGGTACGTTGCATAGATTTTTTTCCCTTACAGTGACCATCATTACATTTTTTATGTCACTTCATCTGTTTGCAAGTTTTTGTCTCTGGTTAAGACTTAGGTTCAACTTGTACTACACAAAGCTACGGCAAACAATACCAAAGCAATAATAATAATAATAATGACTGGTCTCGATGGTATTCCATTGTCCACCAAATCACTACAACCACCGACCAACTTTGGCATTGATCACAACCACCGACTTTCATCAAACTATATAGTAATGGTATTATTTTTTACATTCGGTATATCTATATGGGAAGCACGGTGGAGAGGCACGGATTGAGGAGTCGGGGAGCCAAGTTCGAATTCCAGTCGAATCCATTACATTCATTTACGTGCTAATACCCTTCAGAAAGGCATGAATCCTCTTCTTCTCCTTCCAGCTATGGGCAAATAGCAGGACAGATCGGGTTCTACCGCAGAAATAAATGGCAACCTAATGCAGGAAAAAAATCTGCCTCGTCAGTCATGTATGGAAAGATATATGATCTCCTAGGCGTGTATCACGCATGGCACATAACTGACTGATATCTAGATACATAATAAGTTTTTTTATTCCTTTTGGTCTTATTTTCCTCGTTTTTTTGTTTTTAAATATCGCATTGTACATATCTATTTATAGATATTTTACGTATGAAACCTTTTTTCACAATGTCCATACGTAATGCTTCGTTATAGTCACTTAGGCGCAAATAACCCTTGGGGAAGGTATGAATCCTCATCTTCTCCCACCAGCTCTGGGTAAATTGCAGGACAGACTCGTTTGGGGACCTTGGGTTCAAAAAGTGTGGTTGGTTCTGCACAAAGAGAAGGACATGAGGGCCAAAAGAAGAAGCTACGTGAGAAAATAGGGAAAGATGGGGCAGATGTTCGACATTCGAAATCATGTATCCAGATGATTGAAAAGAGAATTTCTGGGACACACACACACACACACACACACACACACACACACACACACACACACACACACACACATATATATATATATATATATATATATATATAAGTATAGGATTGGTATATACGGAATAAATTCCAATAACCAACAAATACTATTCTTAAAAGAGTGCTCAATACAGGGTAGAGCAAATACAATTATTTATTCGAAAATTATAACATAAATATGTTATAAAATCTCTACAAAAATAGCTTTGAAATAAAATGGCTATTTTTGTAGTGTAACATATTTATGTTATAATTTTCGAATAAATAATTATATATATATATATGTGTGTGTGTGTGTGTGTGTGTGTGTGTGTGTTGGAGTAATGAATAGCGGCTCGGATTGAGGAATCGGAGTGCCGAGTTCGAATCCCAGTCGAATCCACTCACTTACGTGCTGCTACCTTTGGGGAAAGTATGAATCCGAAGAAATAAATACCAACCTACCGAGGAATGAAATCTGCTTCGTCAGTCATGTATGGAAAGATATATGATCTCCTAGGCGTGTATCACTCATGGCACATAACTGACTGATATCTAAGCTTTTTATTCCTTTTGGTTTTATTCCCCGCGTTTTTGTTTTTAAATATCGCATTGTACATATCTATTCATAGATATTTTACGTATGAAACATTTTTTCACAATGTCCATACGTAATGCTTCGTTATAGTCACTTACGCGCAAATAACCCTCGGGGAAATTATGATCCCAACTATTCTCCCCCAACTATGGATTACTTAGTAAAACTTAAATCTTCGTAAATTTTTTTTTTCCATCTGTTACCCCCGCCAACTTAATTTTATGAAATTTCAATAAATTCATTTTTTGTAATGTTCAATGTTTATATTTGTCTTCAGAAAATTTAAATCATCAAATTTTAGTAGGATCAAACATGACCCCCAGTTGTAGAAAGTCTTCCCTGAACCATAAAATATGCAATAAAACTAAGACATTTTTCATTAGAAAAACCTTTAATTGCTTTTATGAATCATACTTATTATAAAACCCAGGTTGTGTGTGTGTGTGTGTGTGTGTGTCTGTCTGTCTGTCTGTCTGTTCGTTTATATATTGGATCGGATTTCCTACATTTTTAAACCGGTTTCAACAAAACTTCACAGGGCTACGTAAAATTACCTTGTGGTGGTTCTGACAGCGCCAAAAATTGTAAAAACAATTGTTTTTGCACAAAATCAATTTGAAAGCACGATTAAGAGGCATCGCTGTCGAGAATGAAAGAGGGACAACTCATATAGAGTTATACTTATTATAAAACCCAGGTTGTTTGTGTGTGTGTGTGTGTGTGTGTGTATGTGTGTGTGTGTTTGTGTGTGTTCGTTTATATATGGAATCGGATTTCCTACATTTTTCAACAGATTTCAACAAAACTTCACTTTTTTTGGCAGGTAGTGTTTCTTATTATCTTGCACAATTTTTTCTTTATTTTTACATTCAGAATGCTTTAAAAATTCCATTTACAAGACAATTGTTTATAATAAAATTCTATTCAATCGGTAGACTCATAACGATTGAAAACAATGTTTTTGTTTAAGTTTGGGTTTGACCAATTCGTAAAAAAACAAATTTCAGACATGCTTGTCCGTCAACCTTAAACAATAATCTTTGTCAATTTTATTTTTCAGTCTTTATAATGGTCGATACTTGATCTATCTCTTACTGTTACATCCCCGGGCAACGCCAGACTCTACTGCTAGTAAAATATATATTTAAAATAAAAATCCATATAATATCCTACAATTTCAAAACTGTATTCAAAAATATAACTTCAACAAAACCACAACATAAAACATGCATATCACCGCTTGTAGCAAAGATGTCCACATCAATATGTTGTTACGGTTCTTCACAGCCAATTCCTTAACCATCCATACACTTTACAAGCCATCTCTGTTTTTTTTTTCTCTCTAAATGTGATGTTCACCAATCTCTCTTAACAATTGGGCAGATAAATGAATGACCCTAGAAACGTAATCGGGTGAGATCTAAAAAGTAACATCTCACACACGTGCGGAATCATGTGATCTAATATGAAAAATTGAACGGGAAAAATATCTGAAGAGTTAGGTGGACTGCGGAGCTCGAGTGATCAACACCCTTACTTTTGTTATCGTCAACCAAAGGGGATTGCATAATGAAGTCTAGTCCTAACTCACACACACTATGCCGCATATGGACATAAATTTGATCGAACTAATAGTCCTAGACCAGTTGCAATGGTGAATTGCTTAACGTATTAATCACCGAAGACAAGAGCATGTGTGATTTATCCAACTATTGAATTGGAGAAAGCAACGATCGACACGACGCCGAATCTTCCTAACTGAAAGAGAAATTGTTGAAGACGTGAAAAAGAAACGACGATCACTTGGGGTCAAAACTTGCAACCGTAAAGAAAGAGAAACAGAATTTAAAAGATATTTCAGCACGTCCGAATACGGAAACAATAGACGGAACTGAAAGAGAAGGAAAAAAGAGAAATATAAAAAAGAAGAAGAAGAAGAAGAGAGAGAGAGGGGGGAGAAAAAGTTTTATTTCAGACAATGAACAAGAGCTAAATGTGTTTCTTTTGATTACATACACCACACGCATTTTTACATGCAGACATATTTCCTATGTTGCTCTAATATATAATTAAATCCTGTTAAATCTTATTCCGGTGTTTGTCGTTTGTCACTATTGGTTAGTTCGCCTTATCCGTGTTTATTTGACCCTGCGAGAGAATCCACCACTGACGGAGTGGAAATCTTTTGGCAACAAGTTATTTTTTACCATTTTCTTTTTATATTTTGTGTTGCGACAATTGGTTCATAACAATGTATATGCACTATTGAGGGGTTCTCCCCTTTTTACACAAATGGACTCACCCAGCGTATACATATACTACTGCTAGTGAATACCCGGGAGAAGAACGAAAAAGGGCGACGAACGAGCAAGAGTCACAGTGAGCAAGCACGTAGACTCAGTAAAAAGTCATACAGTGATACGTCGATACCAAAGACTGTATATATATTTTGCTACTAACCCGCATTCCTGGAACTACTAACCTGTATTACCAGTTTGTGTTATTACATTAATACATTTATTTTCCTATATTCCTTCTTGGCGTTTGTTATTTATTGGTACCGGATTTCATCCCGGAATCCACAACATGCACAAAAGCTGAGTATCAGCTAACATGTACACTATTGTGAAAGTAGAATAACACGTATCATACTTTTATTACTTCAAAGCTATCAAGAGAATTAAATTTCGGTATTAAGATTTTGATATGCCAACCAATTCAATCAATCCATATGTAAACTAATTTCGACATTTTTGATGGGTACTATGCTAGTATATATAGTTATAACATGATTTTTCCTTTCTTTTCCAGATTAATTAAAGAAAAAAAATATGTTCGATCCTCGTACAATTTTGACGTTCCTGTCTGTTAGCCTTTTACTTCAGTTGTCGTCAGCTTTCTACTTGAAGGAGCACAGGTACAAAAAGAAGATAAGAGAATATGAAAAGGTGAGGAAAGTCTTTATTCATTCGGAAAACGTCTTATATAACATTATTTACCGTATATACTCGTGTATAGAACGAGTTTTTATGATTAGTTTTTTTTTTTAAGGCAAAAATAAGGGTTCGCACGAAACAGTTAATTTTTTGAAGAATGCATTTTCGATGACTGTTTGCATTATACGCAGGTAATTTTTTTTCTGTAGTAGTTAAAATTCATTCATTTTCGATGACCATAACCTACCAAGTAGGTCTACATTTTCACAGTACCTTTGACAAAAAGGTTGTCATTGGAAAGGCAATACCTCAGCGATGTAAACACTTGCGAAACGAAAGTAAATGCAAATTTGAGGCATGAAAAATTTTATTAATTCTTCATTGATATAAGATGTTTGTTGATTTTAATTGGCATATATAAGGGATGAGGTTTTACTCTTCATGTAGCGACAAAAGAGAAGAAACTTAGGCTGCGTAGGAGGCAGGCCCATAGTAAAGGAGCAACTGCAGTCAGGCATGAACGAAAACAAAAGTACGGTATCTAAATCTTCGTATCAGATATTTTACGGTAAGTGGTTTTTCTCATCATTTAGGGTAGCTTCGTACAAAAAGGGGGGGGGGACCATTTTACTTGCTATTAAATATGTCGAGGATAATGCCCAATACTGCAATATTTAACTATGATAAGCCTACTGGTATTGCTCAGAGGTGGGCCGCATTATACACGAGCGATATGAAAAATAAGGTTTTTCACAGAAAAGAGTTCAGAGGTTGCACTATACATGAGGATTAAATGACCCATAGATGTGTCGCCAAACAAAATGAAACAATCAACATGAAAGAGTTCTTTCATGACATCAATCCATTAACCTTAAAAGAATTTTTTTTTAAACTTTTCACCCCAAGCAAGACGGGAGTGCCACTAGCACGCAAGGGATTACAGAGAGTGGGAGCAAGATTAAAGAGGCGTGAAAGAGGAAAGTATGAAGAGAAAGACGGGGAATAGATCAAGGCATCTGGAGATGTTGATTGACATTGCATTTGAATAGTTAGAGATTGTAGTTGGGAAGCAAGTAAGAGGAAGGGAGTTCCACAGACGGGAAGTGCGAGACATGAAGCTATTGGAGTAGAAGAGACCGCTTTCGATATTGAAAGGGTGGGACTGAGATGCCGACCTAATGGCACGTTTAAATTCATGCAGTTTGGGAACTAGCGAAAATATCTCGTCGGAACAGTTAATGTGAAAGTATCTGTAGAAAAGTTTGAGGGAGTCGACGGCACGCCTGTAAGAGAGCATCTGTTTAAGGAGATGCCAGATCAGGGAGAACCAGATTGCATATTCGTCTCTGGATTTTGTCGAAGACCCTAAGACGAACAGCGGGATCTCCAGACCATATATGACATCAATATTCCATGCAAGGGCGAATGATTGATTTATAGATTTGAAGGTAAGTGAGAAAAAAGTTTCTGTCATGACACAGAGAACCAACTTTCCTTGCGGTAGATATAGCTATTGATTCAATGCAATTGTTCCATCTCAGGTCAGCGGACTGCATTCAAAAGAAATCAAACTGTATTCTAAAATATAGCTTCTACAAAACTACTACATAAAATACCTTTGGGAAAGGTATAAACCCAACTCTTCTCTCCCGCCCAGCTATGGTTTACTTAGACTAAGACTTAAATCTTTGTAAAAATATTTTCACCATCTGTTACCCCCCCCCCTCACTTAACTTTTATGAAATTCAATAAATTCAATTTTTGTAGTAGTTAATATCTATATTTTCTTCTGAAAAAAAAATGTAAATCATCAAATTTTGGGGATCAAATTTTGGGACACCCAGTTGTAGAAAAATCTTTCCTGAATCAAAAAATAAAATATAATTTTAATTTTAATTGCTTTTATGAATATATATATATATATATATATATATATATATATATATATATATATATATATATATATATAAAATCCATATAATGTCCTACAATCTCAAAACTGTATTCCAAAATATAACTTCAACTGTAATATAAAACGCATATATCATCGCCTCAAGTAATTACGTTTACCCAAACATGTATATGTACAAAAGCTGGCTATCATCTACCGTGTACTCAGCTGTGAAAGCAGAATAACAAATATCATATTTTTATTACTTCAAAGCAAAAAAAAATTAAATTTCGGCATTAAATGACCCATAGGGAGTTGATGTGCCTTTAAACAAATCAATCATATACCGTACATACGTTGGTATTGTTAGATTTCAAACGCACGTTTACCGAATGTAAAACGCAGTGGGTCGATTACGGAGTTTCTGTTTCAAAATGTTGCCATAAACTTCAGTTCCTTCCTTTAAAGCAGTGATTTTCAATGTAGACGCATGGGGGCGCTACCAACTCTCAGGGGTGCAGCATGGGGCCGTGGGGTGGGGCTATAATTTTTAACAGGTTATTAAGATGATTTAACGCCTCGAACACCGATTAAGCCAAGTTACAATATTTTATATACGAATTTGTTTATATTTTTGATTATACATTTACATTTCTGATGTATATTAAACATTTAGCTGCAAATGCAATATATGTATGGAGCAAAACCTGCAATCAAACCAGCTGCTTTTACGGTCAGGCACGGTGACAGTCACTAGTCTGCTCTCATCACAGCTGAACGTTCTGTAACAGCAGAAAAAAACTGGCGCGATCAAGGTCAGTCTTCGATCACGTGACCATAATAATCATACTTATTATAAAACCCAAGTTGTGTGTGTGTGCGTGTGTCTGTACGTTTATATATTGGATCAGATTTCCTACATTTTTCAACCGATTTCAACAAAACTTCACAGGACTACGTAAAATCACCTTGCAGTGGTTCTGACAGCGTCAAAAATGGGAAAAACACAATTGTTTTTTGCACGAAATCAATTTGAAAACACGATTAAGAGGCATCGCTGTGAGAATGAAAGGGGGACAATTCATATCGAGATATACTTATTATAAAACCCAGGCTGTTTGTTTGTGTGTGTGTGTGTGTGTTCGTTTATATATGGCATCGGATTTCCTACATTTTTCAACAGATTTCAACAAAACTTCACTTTTTTTTTGCAGGTAGTGTTTCTTATTGTCTTGCACACTTTTTTCTTTATTTTTACATTCAGAATGCTTTAAAAATTCCATTTACAAGACAATTATTTATAATAAAATTCTATTCAATCGGTAAACTCATAACGATTGAAAACAATGTTTTTGTTTGAGTTTGGGTTTGACCAATTCGTAAAAAAAATAAAATAGAATAAAATAAAACTAATTAAGACATGCGTGTCCGTCAACCTTAAACAATAATCTTTGTCAATTTTATTTTTCAGTCTTTATGATGGTCGATACTTGATCTATCTCTTACTGTTATATCCCCGGGCAACGCCGGGCTCTACTGCTAGTACCAAATATAAGCACGCATGAGCAGAAGGCAGTGTGAAAAACTAAAGATATTACAAAAAAGGCAGATCATTTTTTATTTACCTTCGTATTATGTTTTTCCATCTTTTTTTTCTGTCTTTCGATAGGTGGAAACAATTACGGACCCTGTGAAGGTGAAATTGTTAATGTCTCAACCAGCGAAGGAGGAAATCAAGTTCACTCAGGTTCTAATTCCAGACAAATTCTCCAGATATGACAGCATTGACCAAGACGGACACATTACACTCAAAGAACTGATTAAAACCACTGGGGCAGAGTACAATGCACAAAATGCATTTCAAGCCGCTGATGAAGACGGTAAACATTTTATATACTTCCTCTTGATCGGATGAGCGGAAAAAATAAAAAAAATAAAATCAATCTAAATTAACAATGATTCCATGCAGAGTCGGTGTTAGAGTCTTGTGCCTTCCACCTCCAAACTATGACACGCCCCCCCACTCTAATACATCTCAATTTTCATAAGGTAGTATTCATATGAAATACAAATTTTATTGTAACCTACTTATGTACAATAATGGATCATATGCAATATAAGTGAACAATTCAACTAGAAAAATTGAAAATAAATACAATGTATCTAAATAGAAATTAAAGACATATCGTCACAGATCATTCCATCTTCTATCTAAATAAATAAACTGTAAATTCTGTCTGTCTGTCCGTGTGTCTGAAGATTCTCTAACTCCGGCCACACTTGCTCTACATTGACATACCTTTTTGGAATCAGGATGATCCCGGGATTGAAAATCTGTTCTTCATCTGGTGCTTGAACATCCAGCATTGGGATTTGTGCTTGGATGAGGAAGGAATAGTTAAAAATTCAAATTTTAAAATAGCTGAAAAAAAATTATTGATTTGAAAAGTTAAAAGTTTTAATTAGTGATTTTTAAAAAAGTTTTTAATTTATATTGAGTTTAAAGTAACAGAAAAACTTGATAAATTTAATTTAATTTTTTTTTGTTTTAAATTCAGTTTCAAATATCTCCAGAAGTTTGTGAATTGAGGAAATGAATTTTATTTCTTCAAAATGTCAAAGAATCAGAGTTAAAGTGAGGCGTGGGAGTGTGTACGAAATGAATTTCCTATTCCTATTTCTTTTCCTTAGATCAATATTATCATATTTTCTATACTTGATTTCAGCGTAATTGTAAGCACTATTTTTAAAAGCATTATAGCAATAAAGTCAGATGAGTTGTTGCTAATCTTATATTCTATGGATTAGGGTATATGTTTGATCACAGATGGATGGTGGTTAGAATTGGGTTTAACCATTTAATTGATGAACATTTGCCTAAAAGTAACCCTCTTAGTAAAATATTTAACAGGAACACACTGAAATTAAGTTATAGCTACACAGATAATCTTGAAATGATTATAAAGAAGCACAATAATAAAATTTTAAACGAATTTAAAAATTTAGATAATAATGCACATTCCAAGATAAATACTGGTTAATATACCAATGCCCATTACGAAACCAAAGTTTAACCAACTCTCTTGTTTATCTAAGTTACTGTTTAATAGAGAATCCGACTGTTGAAAATTTTATGTTGGTAATAGTAAGAATTCTTTTAAGACTAGGTGGTACCAACATATCTCATCCTTCAGTACTTATAAAAATAATACATCTCTTTCTAAATATTTTTTGAATTTAAAAGAAGCTAATAAAACTCCTAAGGTAAAATTGAAAATTTTAAAAAGAGCTAGAACATGTAGATTTTTAAATGAACCCAGGTTTTATGCTTACATGAAAAATTAGAAATTATTAGATTTTCTGATAAAAACTCCTTATTAAACCAAAGAAGTGACTTGACTGTAAATTGTAGGCATAGTCTACCTTTTACCTTACAATATACTTAAACTTTGAATTTTATAATACTGTTTTTTTATCGTAATAATTGGTAGATGAACTGCAATGTACCTTGTATTGATTACTGTTCTATTTGTAAGATTTATTTTGATTTAATATAGCTCTGTATTGATGTTTAGTTAGTATTATTAACATTTTATATAGGTGTTTAGTTAATATTATTAACATCTTACATTGAATAGTTGGTATTATTAACATCTTATTTGGATGCTCTTTACTTAACGGCTGTATATTAATTTGCCAAAGTACTTCTGTATTTATGATCTTTTTTTTTAAACAGTTATCTACCAGTTTCTTACTGAGGCGTTTTATTTATCAACTACAAAATTTTATGTAAGAAGCTTTTAAATAGTTGCCTCACCGTAAAAAAATCTGTGGTTGAGAAAAAGCTTTTTATCGTTAGAGACATTTAAACTTCACTGACTGTCTTTGTTGTTGTTGTTGGAAATAATTCGTTTAAAGTTGCCGACTGGCCGTAAGCAAAGATTCACTGACAGTCCAAGCTGTTGTTGTTGTAGCTGATTCGTTTGAAGTCGCCGACACATATTTCTTTCAGCTAAAAAGCTGCGGAAAAAAACAAGCTAAATAGCCACGTCTCCATTTCAGCTTGGAGATAGAGGGATCGTTGCTCACAGAAAATCGAAAACTGTGAGGTTTTATAAGAGATTTTCCCCGAAACTAGGTACGAGAAAAATAGAGTTTTAGTTTTCTCTGATTGGTCAAATATTTCACATGGTGACGTCAATTTTTAATTAAGAAACATTTTGATTTAAACGGTGGATGTTGTATTGGGAAATATTTTTGGCATATTTGTAAATATTGTCTGTTATTGGGGAGAAAATAGTTTGCTCGTGTTTTAAGCTTGAACAAACGTATAACTATGTATACAATTTTCATACGATATCTGATCAAAAAGTATCGGGGCTGTTGCTATGGCAACGAAGCTAAAGTGTACAGTTTGAAACCGCTTGGCACAGATTAACCATGAACTCTATCGCGCGTACACACTAAGTTATAATAGTGCTTGGAAGGAAAGTGTGTAGAGTGTGGTCGTCTCATCACATTACAGAAAACATTTTGAAAATGGTCATAATAGGTGACGAGTCGTGGATCTATGGTGCTGACCCCGAAACTAAGTTTCAGTTTTCGCAGTGGAAGACCCCAACCTCTCGGAGACCGAGGAAAGTACGAACGAGTCGAAGCAACGTGAAGAAACTGTTGACGTTTTTCTTTGACTACAAGAGCATTTTTCATCATGAATATGCTCCACCTGGTCAGACAGTAAACAAGGACGTGTTACGGCGCTTTCGGGATACTGTTCGTTGGAAAAGGGATAGAACAGCACGCGTTCAGTGAGTGGCAACTCCACCATAACAACGCACGTTCCCATGCCGCGTATTTTGGCCAAGCATAGCATTCCCCAGGTCGGACAACCACCATATTCCCGCAGATCTCGCCTCCTTTTTTCCCTCTTTCCACACATCAAATCCAACTCGAAAGAAACAAGATTTCAAGACGCCGGGGAAATCCAAGCGAATGCGACTGGGCAGCTGCTCGCTATCCCAAAAATGAAGCTCCAGGAATGCTTCCATCAGTGGAAACGACGCTGGATAAAGTGTTTGGTGTCAGACTACTACGAAGGTGATTAAATGCCGGATTGATATTTGTTTGTAGTTTTCTTCTGTAGCACCAGTCCCAGTACTATTTTTTTATCATACTTCTTAAGCCACTAGTTGTACCCGATTTCTATCAGGTCATCCCATAAGTTCTGTCCGAAGTTTGAATAAAGAAAACAAGTGACCAAATGTTACATTTAATTACAGATTCAATCAACAATGTATTTTCCCTGATTATCAACGACTTCCTTCCGTCTATTAACAAGCTTACTAATTCCATTACTGTAAAATTCTTTTGGCTTTGATTTGAAGAACTCACAAATGTCAGTTTTAACCTCTTCCTGTGTTACAAAAGCTGTTTCTTCCAAATGATTCTGTAAGCTACGAAACAAATGGTAGTCTGAAGGAGCAAGATCGGGAGAATAAGGTGGATGAGGAATTTTCTCCTAACCAAGTTCTTCGATCTTTTGTGACGTGATTCTTGCTGTGTGGGGGCGTGCATTGTCCTGATGAAACATCACCTCTTTTCGATTCACTAGAGCAGGTCTTTTTTTCCTCAAAGCTTGGTTCAAACGCTCTAATTGCTGACAGTATATTTGAGCATTAATTGTTGTAGTAGGTGGTAAGAATTCAAAGTGGATTATTCCTTGGCAATCCCACCAGATTGAAAGAAGAACCTTTTGCCCATAAAGTTCCCTTCTCGGCTGTGGCTGGGGTCCTTCCCCTTTACCAAGCCACTGTCTACGACGCTTAACATTTCGATAAAAGATCCATTTTTCGTCGCCAGTCACAAGTCTATCCAAAAAAGGTGAAACAAGTTGGTGAGAATGGAGAGAAGAGCAGATGTCAACTCGGGATTTGAGGTTGTTTACAGTCAATTCATGAGGCACCCATTTTCCAAGTTTAGGAACTTTTCCATGTTGTTGAAGATGACCATGAACAGTTGTATGGTTTGAACTGAGAACCACTGCCAATTCCTCAACTGATAAAGCAGGATTTTCTTCAAGGGCTGCTTCAAGAAGCTTTTCATCAAACTCAACTGGACGTCCGGTTCAATCTTCATCTTCAAGGTGAAATCTCCACCTCTGAATTTTGCAAACCATCTTCTGCAAGTTCTTTCATTCACATTCCTCTCCATAAACTGAGTGAATGTTTCTAGCCGCTTCGGCTGCTGAGTTTCCTTTCTTGAACTCATAAAGCATTATGTGTCTCAAATGATTCTTGGGTACTTCCATGTTAGCAGGGTTTTAATCAAACAAAATTTAATTTTATTGTTCTTTGAAATAAAATTTGATCAGTTTAAATGCATCTCAACATAAAAATAATGTTCAGCTCCATTAGACATTATAAAATACTCTTTAAATTTCGTTCATTTTAACAAAAAGTTAAAATTCGGACAGAACTTATAGGATGACCTGATATAAAGGCTTTTCTTCAGGAACCTGTAAATAGCGTAGGTAAAAACTTAACAATAACTCAAGTCCAGATGTAGATTTAAAGCATAAATATAAAAAAAAGAAAACAACCTTTATTAAATAATGTGTAAAATTGCAAAAATGCAACATAACCAGCAAATACAAGCTGGTCTATGGAATAATCAACAACTAGTTTTAACCCGTGAAAATTTCATGTTTTTTCTGTTTTACTGATGATTCTGAAGTTAATGATCGAATAAGCTCATGGCGATTTTTACAACAATAAAATATCCGTTGAAATTCTCCTATCGCATCGTTAAATACTTGAGCGTAACTACTTTAACAAAATATTTCAATAACAATAAAAAAAATATGAATGCTGGTCGTTAAGTGGATAGAAATGAAAAAAATTTCAAATTGACAATATTTTCCATTTCACTAAATACTTCTAACTTGCCTTTCTTTCTTTCTTTCTTTCTTTCTTTCTTTCTTTCTTTCTTTCTTTCTTCATTTTCTCATTGAACCCAAGTAGCATCTCTGATACGTGTGTTGTCTATCAAAATGGAGTAGTCCATTATTTATGAGTTATTCACAGGACGTAAAGGTCGTGCGAACTAACGTTGGAAGGAACAAGCACAATTATAATAGGATTGTTTTTGAAAGAGTCGCAAAAATAGCCCTTTGTGTATCAAAAATTATTTTAGGTAATGTGATGTTGGGGGTTAAGCCGGAAATAAGCCAAGAACTGTGCAGGTTGGTTAAGACACCGGAACAAGGAATGCAATTTTTTTACTCAAAATGTTACCAGAAAGGGTAATACAAGTGTAAAAGGATGTATGCCTATGTTTTATATATTATGCAAAAGCATTTAATAGAGTACATCACCCAGAACTGTTGGAATAGGTAACCATGACATATTTGGGAAGGATATGAAGATAATCCAAAACCTATACTGGCAGCAAACCTCCTGCATACAGACAGAAAAGGAATTCAATAAATATACAAAAATAGAAAGGAATATAAAACATAGATGTGTCTTCTCCCCAGACTTATTCAACCTTTACAATGAGGCAATTTTGAGAGAATTAGAAGTCCTACCAGGATTCATTATTGGCGGCCACAATCTAAACAACACAAGATATGACGATGTCACTGTTGATAGCAGAGACAGAAAGGACGCTACCAGAAATCCGACAGAAGGAAAGCGAGAAGAAAGGACTAAACATCAACTACAAGAAGACAGAATATATGATTGTCAACAAAAAGAAGAGCCCAAATTACAAATTAGCGATAACAAAATCAACCAAGTGCAGCAATTTAAATACCTGGGAAGTTTTAACAGGGAACGGAATTTGTGACACTGAAATCCGAAGGTGCATTAGGATAACGAAAGATGCCTCCCAAAATCTAAGTAAAGTACTAAGAAACAAGAAAACTTCGTTAGAAACAAAGAAAAGAGTACTGAACTATTATGTAATATCAGTCCTCCTAAATGAATGACACTCATTTTGAGAAGTTTGAAGAGGACTGATAAGAGGTATTTACGGTGTAAAAACAGCTCATCAGGATGACAATGAGGCAGACAAGCAATGGCAGATTCCAGATATAGCCACATGCAGGTCGAAAGATTAAAATGTAACCGGGTTACTTTATTTAGGTAGCACTGAACGGGCCTTTATTTTTGATCTTTCACGATCTTTTGGTGAAGAGAGGGATGTGTTCTAAGAACTTCTCATATAAGTCCGTCAATTTATTAGGAAAAAAAGAAAAGAAATTTAAGATAAATAATTATTATCACTCATATTTGTGCAAATGCCTCTGAAAAAAGGCTCCAAAACGTAAAAAGGTTTAAAAAAAAATTATTTAAAAAACTGAGTAAAAATCGCAAATTGTGGGTGGAGGAGAATCCCTAAAGGTAAGATTGGGAAAAAAAAAGGCAAATTCAGCTGATCAATGACGTAAACAGTTTCAAACTTGATATTTGTAAATAAAAACTAAGTACAGATAACTCTTTAAAAAGTCAGTTATCGATTTGACACTCTATTTATATTATGAACAAGACCACCATTCTAAAATGATAAAGAACATCAATCTTTTCGATTCTGGTACATATCGTAGTCTGAAGATCTAATGAATGCTAATGGATTCTAATCTACAAAAATTATTCTGCGAAATTTTTTTCCTCTTTTTTACGAATGGACAAGTCAATCATAACAGTACCAAAATGTTTTTTTAATGAAAATATTTTAGAAATTTTAGTTTCAAACTTGACATTTGTGAATAAAAATTAAGTATAGATAACTCTTCAAAAAGTCAGGGATCAATTTGACATGCTACTTATATTAAGAACAGGACCCCTTCTTTTAAAATGATATAAAACACCAATATTTTTATTTTTTATTTTTAGCTTGAGGATGGTCTAATGAATGCTAATGAAAGCTAATCTACAAAAATTATTTGCTCTAAAATGTTTTTTAGGGGAAGACAAGTCAACCAAAGTACCACCAAAATATATAAATTTCAAACAACAGTAACACTAACTGTTCGGTCAATGAACGCCAAATGTTTCCTTATAAATTCGACATTACCATTTCTTCTTGATATTCATTTACCAAGTTCATCTCTCAAGTTTTTTTTTTTTTTTGAAATCTCTATACAGTGTAACCCGGATATAAGAGAGTTGTCGGGACCGGAGAAGAAGTATCTTATATCCGGGTTTCTCTTATATCCGGGTTTGGTCTATTTTGTTTAGGTAAGTATGGGCTCTAATTTGGGATCAGAGAAAATCTCTCTTATATCCGGGTTTCTCTTATATCCGGGTCTCTTATATCCGGGTTACACTGTATCTTCCTTATCTTTATGTACATTTTTCCTTTCACCTTGTTTTTTTTTTTTTTACTCGCTTTCATATGTCCCGCTTTTCCTTCTCCTCTCCTTCGCTTTTCTAAACTCCTTTTCATTTAATATTATCATGTAGGATTCTTGCTCAGAAAGAGATACTAATTTTAGCTGCGAAGAGACGGGGGTCAAGCAGGTACTACACTCTGATCCTTGGCAGAAAATACAAACAAGCAGAATAATAGTATAGATTCTTTCATTTTAATATCAATATATATCGTGGATCCTGGTTACTATCGAGGTGGGTGATCGCTTTGGAATACCAGGTAGCGAAGGCTTGGATGTGCGGGTGGTGTAATGGAATTAGAATTAGAAATCGAAGAACGGAATTCGAATTCCAGTAGGGTACTTTACATTCACTTACATGCAAATACCCTTGGGGAAAGTATGAATCCACCTTTTCTCCCCCTGATATGGGTTAAATAGTAGAACTTGTATCTGAAAATTATTATCTGCAAAAAAGTCTTAATACAATATTCACTCGCAAAAAAGAAAAAAAAAGACTTATTTTTAAAATCCCTATATTTAGGGTTTCGGCTTTAAATAACCTACAAAAATTTTGATAAGCCTTAAAAAATATATCAATAAATCTACAAAGCATACATTCTCCTTGGCTGACTGGTATGTGTATATGTGTGTCTATGACACGGAGAATCGAACGAACAGACTTAGATTCTACTAGCAGACAAGAGTTCCTCTTATAAATGTTCATTGGATCAGATAAGCCGATATGAGTCGTTCTGATTGGTTCATAAATCTAAGAAAGGCGTTTCTTTGCAAACTCAAGCAACTTATCCGAATTGGAAACTTTTATTTCGAAAGAAACTTTTCTTATTGGCTCTAAAAAAATTGTTTATTAAATTTGAATTTAGCTTTTTTTTTTTTTGTCAAGTTACCACAGATATACCTTACTTTGGATCATAACCTTCCGAATATAATAACGTAAATAGTCAGAAGAAAAATTCAGTCCCTTTGAGATTTGTAATATTTAGACCTTTATATATGCACGTATCATTTTAAGTTTAAAATAGTGGAAGGAATGTGCATATTATTATATTATTTTATTTTATTTTATTTACAGTAAGGTTCACCCTGTACAAGGCCCGGGGGACACTCGAGGTAGAGGGTTACGTTAAGGGGTAGTTTATATGGATAAGAGGGGAAGATAACGGTTAACTCTAGACTTAAACAGGTTCCACAGGGCAGTGATTCGCAGGATGAAGCTGTTTGAGTAGAACTTACTTCTCACCAATGGAATATAGAGGGAATGTGGGTGGTTTGTTACTATATAAGCGGTATGGCGGGTCCTAGCCCTACGGCGGAACCAAGGAATATAGTTCATGCGAGCACTTTCCCTAGAAGTAGCGATGGAGCAATGAAAGGCTCGCCACATCCCGCCTGTGAGAGAGAAGTTGGAGGGTGGAAAATAAGTCTTCTCCAAGAAGGACTCTTTTGAACTGGAAAGTGAGGACTGGGCAGATCCCGCCCAAAGATGGCAGAAGTACTCCATTTTCGGGCTGATCTGGCTCTTACAAAGGTAGAGGATAGTATAAGGAGTCAGGTACTTACTGTAGCAGTACAGAGATCTGATCATTTTACATACATGTATATAAGAGTTCCACTTGAATAACTACGGTATTTTATATTGTTCGGCTGTTTGTTTTGATACGTATTCGTTCATCGAGTGAAGACTGGTGAACAAGTTGAAAATAATTTCTTTATACAAGTGAGTATATTGAAACTAGACAATTTGTAATGATTGAATGTTTGTAAGCATGCATATTTGTAGAGATGCTACCGAACAATTATCAATATGTAAATACTAAAGTCTTTCTTTTTTTTCTTTACAGCGGATGGGGAAATAAGCCAAGAAGAATTCAAGAAAGCGCCTTGGGCGATGAAGCCGACATCAGTGAACAGTAAAGACGACAAAGATTTCATCGATGAAGCTAAGATTGAAAATGTCGTTGTCGAAGCTGACGAGGAAGTCAAAATGGAAAGGAACCGTAAGGGAGGAGATGATATAGACGTGGAGGGAGACGAAGAAAGAGATGCTGAAAAAGTAGGTGATATAGATGAAGACGAAAAAATTCTTGTCGGAAAAGACTTCGTGAGAGATAACGAGAAAGAAAATAAATTAGAAAGAGTAGAAGTAAAGAACGTTGAACTGGGAGTGGAGAGCGAAAGAGAAGATGAAGACATTGATCAGAAAATAATCGACGGAGAGGACGCAAAAGAGCTTTTGGAAGAAACGGAAGGTAAACCGGTGGGCGAAGGGAGGAACGCGGTAGGAGTAGAAAACGCCGCGACAGAAAAAGATATTTTAAGAGGAGGAGTTGATAGAAAGGTGGAAGTGGGAGAAGAAGCTATGGCCAAACCTGGAAACGCGGAACATGTAGGAAATGAAACAGCTGAAGTCGGAGGAGGAAAAGCGGGAGGAGGTAAAGAAAAAGAAGAAAATAACGATATTGAAGAAAAAGAGAATGAAGAGGAAAGCGTAAAGGCGGATAACAGAACAGAAAGCAAATATAAAGACTATATCGAGATAGAGGATTTCGAGACGCATATTCACAGTTCTAACTTTGAAACTGAACTTCGCAAACGTGGCAGTATTCCTGACAAAACTGGTGGTCAATTCAAAGGGCGAGATCATTTGATTGAAGAAGATCTTGAAAATCGTAGGTTGATCGATTCAGAAGAGTCCAGTGGTGAATTAAAAAGTTTATATAACCAGGAAGGTTATTCTGACGAAGAGCGAAACACCAGCGAAGAAAATTACGAAAGCTTCATCGAATAAAAAAAAAAACAAAACCTGTTGTCTTCAAACTGCACATCATTAATAATGGTCTCCCGTTTCCCAATCCCGACATTTATATTTCCAAGATCCTTTATTTAAATCGGTTTCTCAATAAACTTTGAAATGTTGGTAAACGAATACGAACCTTTTTCGCATCAAAAATTTCAATACACACCATTTTTAGTGGCAAGCTACTATATTTAGCATTGAGGAAATTTGCTTTCGTGCTGAAAAAAAATTAACCGCAAACGATTACCATTTGGTTCAGTAATAAAGACTGAATATATTAAAAATTAAATGTTTTTAAACTAACTAAAGGCTTATCCATTGAAAGAAAACAGAAAAAATACAAAAAACACAAACAAAACAACAAAAAACTAATTTCTCTTACACTTGCAGATAGCAAAGAAAATTTTGTCTGCGAATCGGCGACGCTAAATGAATGAAAACTTAAACAGAAACCAATTACTCAGCATACATTGGGATCCACAGTTTTATAAGTAAAACAAGAGATTTGATAGAAATTCCAATTACAACCTTCGAATGTCTTCTAGAAACGGCACAGTTCGTTGTTTTTTTTTTCATTGAAAATAAAAACTACTTAATTATTATTCTTGCTTCAAACAATAAAAATAAATAAATATTGATAGAAAGAGGAACTGAAAGATTTCTCGTCCCGAACCTATTTGGTAAACCAAAATCTGACCAAATGACCAAGCATCAGAATTATTTCGAAGAAATTTTCGTCGATCTGAAACTTTTTCAGTTCCCCAACGTATAAATAGATACTAATATCAAGAGATATTGAGAGATATAAATAGATATTGATAATTCCTGATCACGGCTGGTAATAAAGTCACAAAAAAAGTCACAGGTTTTCCGAGGAAAAAAAGCCACAACTTAGTTTTGTGAGTGAAGTGTTTGGTATACATATACTGCAAATTTTTATCAATAATTTCCACTATTCACGATATCTTCATAGTTAAAGGTTGAGGGTTAAGGATATTAGGATAAGGGTAAGGTTAAAAAAAAAGTCTAGTTAAAGAAAGACGCAGAAACAGTGCGAACATTATACTGATTATTTTTTTTTCTTGTGACTTTTTTCCTGTGACTTTTTCTAACTGAATTCAGTTCGGTTATGCATCTATATAAGCCGTATGTGAAAACTGACCGGTATTTGTTGCATTTTATTGCCCTATATATATATATATATATATATATATATATATATATATATATATATATATATATATATATATATAAACGGTACATAAAATAGATTTAATTGAAAATAGATTTGATGACGTATTTTTTAATCTATTTCATGAAACGTTTCCATTTGTCAAAATTTTAAAATTCTGCCGGGATTTCTATATCTTAAGATATATATATATATATATATATATATATATATATATATATACACAAAGATTTTAATTTGTAAAAACTCAATTTAAACCTTGGATATCACGTTTCTGCGGGAGGTACCTAATATATATATATATATATATATATATATATATATATATATATATATATATATAGTTGGATTGATGTGAATTTGTGACCTGCGATCGTCCAACTTAGGGTTTGTCTGGCGATCGCAAATAGCGTGAAACCCAGGGTCACAAACTCACATCAATCCAACTAAATATGTTAGATCTATCACTGATATTGAGCGCTTTGCAATAAGTACCGTGCATATATAATATATAATATATATAAAAAATTGCATATATATATATATATATATATATATATATATATGTATATATTTATATACATATGTATAAATTTATATTTATATACATACACATTTTCCATATACATATATATATATAGTTATAGTTATATACATACATACACATTTTACATACATACATACATATATATATATATATATATATATATATATATATATATTTATAGTTACATACATACACATTTTACATATATATATATATATATATATATATATATATATATATATATATATATACACCAGATACTTCCACAGTACCACGATTCCTAAGGTTTAAAATGATTTTTTAGAAGGAAATTTTTTCTTGACGCTCTTTCGTTTTAATTTCAAGCTAATGGATTAAGTTCAATATTTCCGATAAGCAAAATATTTTTCTGTATAACTTAAATTGACTGGGAGTTAGTTTTTGCTTTGCATAAAAATCTCTGCTTTTAGCGCCATTTGTAGTCATCTCTCAGCACAATGTAATTCACTTTATGAAAAAATCTTTCAAAAATGTAATATATTTTTCTGAATCTTTATTTCATGAATATTAGCTGATTTAATGTTTAATTAATCTGATTACTTTTAGTTTAAAATATAGCAGAAATGTATTTTTAACACGGAGGTAGGATTTTTTATTTAAGGTAAATAACAGGACCGACAACCGGAATTATCTAATTTTTTTCTACGGCGGATATATCTGTAAAAATACTTAAGCAATATAACGTGAGCGCCTTTTTTATATAATTTTTAACTAGCCTGTAATCTTAAGCGTTTAGATATTAAGTATTTAAAATTTAAATATTCTCCGTAATTTAATGTTTTAATGAATTTTATGTCCTTTGCTATTACATTTACTCTAGTTATCACTCTTATTTTCTGATAATGTTCAGTATGTACGTACGTATTTAAAAAAAAATCAGCACGTTTATACACAAACACACAAAAATTCAGTTTTTTTAAAAAAATGTTGGCGTCGCTGAATTATTTTACATTTATGATTAGTAAATATAGCTTTTATTACTTAATAACAATATAACCCAACCGACACAAATTAATACAGAAATTGAAAAGATTCAAAACTTTATTATTCGAATTAAAATTTTAAAAAATGAAAACATTTCTTGTAATAATTCATTATTCATCGAAAAACGTTTTTCTAAAGACAATGATAGAGTCCTTCGTATTCATAAAGCAATTAAAAGCTTTTATAATTAAATAATAATTTTATTGATTTAAAATTAAAAAAAAAATGATTCAGAGAAGATTTTCAATAAGTTGTGTTGTGTTTCAAAAAAAAAAATTATGATTATTTAAATTCTTCAAAGAGTTCTGCGTATAATTATATAATGTATAATTAAATATTAAGCGGTACAAAAATGAATTTTCTCGAAATTACATAAAATTAAATAAGTGTGTGTGTGTGTGTGGGGGGGGGTAACAGATGTAAAAAATGTTTTTCTAAGATTTTCTAAAAAAAGAGATATTTCTAAAATAATTTCATTCATTTTTAATATAAGTCCTGAAAGTTTCATTGAATTCCGACAATTTGATTTTTTGCAAGAATTTCAAAATCAATGTTTTTCACCGCAAAAAAGACGCCAATATTTCCTATAATAATGTTTGCCCCCAACCCCGCTGACGCAAAAACTAAAATTTCGAACGTTCTAAAAGGATAAAAATTATAATTTAATAATCAAAACATCCTAATAAATAATATTTAATAATAACAAAGATTTTGTCAATAAAAATTTCGTTTTTATTAAGCTTGAGGTATTTCCTCATCATGGTATGCTCATTTGTTAGCGAATATGTGTAGGTATATATATATATATATATATATATATATATATATATATATATATATATATATATATATATATATATATAAATGAAATGAAACATTATCAAAGCTCTTAAATACCTGCCTGGCTGATGGAAAAGTGCCTGAGAACCATACCACGGGTTTGTTAGCCGTCGATACCAATACGGTGTTCAATACCCACAGACACAAGAGTGCCTGAGCGAGAGTCTGTAATAGGATTGGCTAACCGCGCTTAGCAGACGAGTATCCTTGAATGCTCGTGGTCAGCTAATACATATATATATATATATATATATATATATGAGACACCACTAATAAAACCACCAATAATCCGAAACACTTTATTCTCGGTAAGAAACGCGTTTTGTCATTCAGTTACCCAATATATTTTTAACATTGTGATAGATATTAATAGATATAAATATAGTCTGTTTGATACTGTAGATATTGACTATATTGATAGATAGAGATGGTCAATATGTAGTTTATTTTCTATAAAAATCGACCTTTAAGTTTAAATTGATCAGTGCTAAATTTTTTTTTCAACTGACCATTCAAAAAAACTATTAAGAATAAGTTTTTCTTTGTAAAACTTATATAGAAATAAAAAGTGAACCCCGGCGTTCTTATTAGTTCAACGTTTCAGTAAAACTGGTTATTGATGGTTCTTTTGGTGTAAAATATTGACATTATTCACAGTCGAACTCATGAACTTTGTTGTTATCACAATGTTTCGGCCATTGTACCGAGAGCCGGCTCAAGGTACAGGCAATTCAGGTAGTCAAGCCGCCATGTCATGTGTTAGGGATCTTCCAAAACTAAAGCTTATAAAAAACTTACTTGTGATCATTCATGAATGACTCAAGACAGATTAAATTCTCTGGCTATTTTGTCAAGAGAAAATGATCTTGTAAAGAAGATAGTTGTAGAAAATGCCGTGAAAAGAATTGCTGATCTAAAGGCTAGAAAAAATGTTTTAGTTAGGTAGGATAAGTTTTATATTGTAATAAACCCGTTATTCTGCATTTTCAATTTTTCTTCTTGTGAAAATTAAAAAAAATATATACTTGTAAGTGCGTTGAAGTTCAGCTTGCCCAGGGTGCCAGCATAATATATATATATATATATATATATATATATATATATATATATATATATGTAATGGTTTTAAGTAACCGTTTCGGCCGTTGTAGGCTCCGGCCTTCTTCAGGTGATTGGAATTTCGAACTGAACCCTTTACTTCGTCCACCGCGGTAGATTGTTCTAGTTCCACGCGCCATGCCTCTTCCGGATGTCTCAGTTATCTCTACTCGCCAAGATTTATGTTCACCACTGCAGTAGCCAAGTATTGAACTTTATTGAACACTGGGCCATGTCCTCAAGAGTTGTGAGTTCAATACCTGATTACTGCAGTGGTGAACAAAAAACAAAAAACTTGGAGAGTTGAGTTAAAATCATCCAGGCGGCATCAAAGATGAGGGCGCCATCAAAGCTGAGGGTACCATCATGCCGCCATGTCATGTGTTTGGGATCTTCCAAAACTAAAGCTTATAAAAACATACTTGTGATCGTCCATGACTCAAGACAGATTAAATTCATTGTCTATTTTGTCAATAGAAAATGATCTTGTAAAGAAGATAGTTGTGGAAAATGCCATGAAAAGATTTGCCGATCTAAAGGCTAGAAAAAATGATTTAGGTAGGATAATGAATGTTTTCTTTAGTTTGTATTAAGTTGCACATTGTAATAAATCCGTTATTCTGAATTTTCAGTTTTTCTCCTTGTGAAAAATTATATTTGTAAGGGCGCCGAAGTTCAGCTTGCCTGGGGTGCCAGCAACCCTAGGGCCATCACTGTTTGCACCCTCCGGCTTTAGTTGTCTGTCGATCCTGATAAACTGAGAGTTTCGAACTGAACACTTTATTTAATCTACGGGGCAAATTGATTTCGTTCTGCTGTCCATAACTTGTCTTTTTTTGATTGCTCAGTTGTTGCTTACTCTATTTTCACTGAGTACTAGCAGGCCCAGGGATTGAACTCACTATGCCACAAGTTCACGAACTCACGCTTTAAGCTATTGTCGAAACGTGATAACAATTACTTCGACTGTATATAATAACTCTTTATCTGAAAAATAGACTGAAAATATTGTCTGTTTAAAAATCTTGTTCAGTGGTTAAATCGACCACATTTTCTCCAAGTAGTGCCATTATTATTTTTAAAGATTTTAAACTATTTCATTTATTTTACAAGCTCAGTATATTTTATATTCCGGTTATCATTTGTCTCATTCAATATTAATTTAATTTTGAAAATCAGTAAAATAAATTAAAAAAAATTAAAACAAAACAAGAAACGAGTGTTCATATATTTTTATTGCTTTTCTCATTAAACCACGTCTAAACAGTTTCTTGAAATATTTTTGTGTCGCTAATAAATGGCCCCCATGTTCAAACATCAATTCGGCCATTTCGAGCGATTAAAAATTTAACCATTATTTCTGATGCTTCTTTTACTATACCAGTTAACATTTTCTAAGAGAAAAGGAAAGGGTGTACTGAATAAAACGACTTCAAAATATTTGATGACAGACG